ACTACATTGCCACGAGTGCTTTTGAGTCACAGGGTAGATGAGAATTTCAAGTAATGTCAGGAATTTTCCACATCACATTCTGTGGTTGGATTGTCGATAAAGCAAATTTATATTTACCATAGCAATTGACGACATTACTTTTTTTTTAATTTAGTAGATTTTTCGATTGCGATAGCAAATATAAATTTGCTTCATCCACATTCCCAAAAGCAGAATGTTATATGGAAGATGGCTGACATTCCTTGCAAACGCACATCTGCTCCGTAACTCAATGGCACTCGTAGAATTTTTGCGTAGTAGTTAACATGTAAAACTTACACACTGCACTGCCATGGTTCAACTCCCTCTTTGAGTGTCAATAAGACAAATGCGATGTCTAAACTGAAGTCCACACTGGATGAAAACGCCTTTAGAGCAAGCAAGGCCATGTAAAATTCAATTGAAACATCACCTCTACAAAGCTCATTGTGGGAAAATGCAACTACCAGTCTTTCATTACCTAAAACTAAATATGATGAACACAACTCAGATATCTGATTTACTGGTAGTCTCACGAAAGAAAATTATGTTATTTTTCCACACTTTTTATCTTTAATGTTTATATATTTATTTTATATATTTAATAAATTGATATTTTATATATATTTATAGCTTTTTTTATTTGGGAAAGCAAATCATGCTCTTTTGAATAGTGTAATGATGTACAGGCAACGGTTACCTGAGCCCTGGTCACTGTTTTGCCAGAAGGTAGAGCCAAGTCGTCAGTCTCCTGTAACTGGTACACCAACTGTTGCGGCTCCAATCGGCGGCCACCGCTTGGTACTGCCTCCATCATCAGGCTGGTTTGTTGAATTGGCCAGATTCGCGGGTTGCTCGGCAAGTGTCGTGTGGAAAACGTGGCTGAGGCTGGTGAGCCGGTGCAGGGACTTGAGGACAGGTTGGAATTGGTCCTAACCAGCTGTCGTGGATACGTGGCCACCATGTGACCAGGTTCAATGTCGACTCCGTCGCAGGGATGAGGAACAGGTACCGTTGTCACGGTAGGACCGATGGGGTTGTTCATGTGTGAAGTGGCCAAATGCTGGTCCGAATGCTGCAGATGATGCTCTCGATGTTGCAGCTTTTCCTCTTTCGACGGGTCGTGGATCCGGAGCTGGCCCATTGCTGTCTGTAAATGTGAAAGCTGAGCCGCCTGATGGTTCAGCAGATAGGTCTTGTACTCCATAGGATCCATTATTAAAGGCTGCAACGGAAGTTGATTTTGCAGAGAAGGTGGCGCCGAAGGAAGGGAAGGAACGTTTCGTTGCAAACTCATTTGGTATGGCGTCTGCGACGAATGCTGCGGACTCGAGCAAGCAGTGGCCGATAGGTAGCCGGATGTGGGATTCTCTTGTTTTTGATGATGCTGCTGCAACTGTTGTTGTTGCTGCTGCTGTTGTTGCTGTTGTAGTAGATAATTAAGAATTACTGCCGTCTGTTGAATCCGCTGTTCGGTGGTGGTCGAGAAGCCTGGCAGAAGGCCACTGGCCTGCCAGGATTTGAGGCAGAGTCCCGATCCTGACATGCCGCCATTGCCGGTATTGCCGCCACCGCATCCGCCGCTGGTGGCAAGCGACAGGCCCGAGCCTGAATTTCGCTGATTCGCCCTGCCGTCGGGCAAGTACCGAACCTGAGAAGCGTCAAGAAGTCCTGTCGCTGAGCTATCATCACCGTGGGAACTGCAAGTGTTGTACAAGAAATAGCTATTACGTTTGCACAACAACAGCTGGGTATCAGTTATAAACATATTGCTGGAAGTAATACCGTATTTCCCCATATATAAGCACCCTCTTTGTATAAGCCACCCCCCAATTTTTTTACTGTGAAGTTTTGAAAACATATTTTATTAGTGAAGCAAGTTACAAAGAAAGAAAAGTTACAAACAAACA